TTTGTGTCCATTTTTTTTTTTGTATATATAATTTGTTTGTTTATTTTGTTTTCGTTGTTTTGTGTATGAAGGAATAACTGTATCATTATGGACAGTGCCACAACACCACACCTCACCATAGTGCTCACACAGTGCCACAAAACCTCGCCATCACACCATAGTCACACAATAACACATCACAACACCCAGACAGAACGCATCACAACACTGACTTACCATTCTGTAACATTGTGCCATTATGAAACACAATACATACAGTCATCTCTCTCTCTCTCTCTCTCTCTCTCTCTCTCTCTCTCTCTCTCTCTCTCTCTCTCTCTCTCTCTCTCTCTCTCTCTCTCTCTCTCTCTCTCTCATCACTAGATTGGATACGGCACAATAATTTATTTTAATATTGATTTTGTTGCGGGACTAATCCCTTGAAATCACCAATCTCGTCTCACGCCAATTCTATAGTACCCCCTTCCTTCATCCTCCTTCGCTCTCCTTCATTCTCCTTCGCTCTCCATCATCTTTCACTCCTTGATCCTTCTCAGCCTATACATTCTCTTTCACTCTTTCATCCTTCAATCTCCTGCATCCTCCATCATTCCTTCATCGTTTATTCCTTCATACTCCTTTACTCCCCTTCTTCCTTCACTTATTATTCTTCCTTAACTACACCATCCTTCACTCTCCTTCATCCTTCATTCCCCAGCTTCCCTCTTCCCTATTCCCCCAATCCTCCTCCTCACCCACTATTCCCCCACCATCCACCCCATCTCCCCACCATCCACTCCATCTCCCCACCTACCTCCTCATCTCCCTTTCCCCCACCATCCCCAACCATTAAACCCCATCTCCCCATCATCACCCCCATCTCCCCACCATCCACCCCATCTCCCCACCACCACCCATCTCCCCCATCCCTCACCCTCCTCCCCATCACAGTACCATCCTCCCCATCTCCCCGGGTAGCGTCAATTCACACGTTTTACCTGGGTGGTTGGGTAGCGTCTCCTCACTAGATTGCTTCTGTCACTCAAAGCGACCGATAACAGGCGGAAATTAAATGTAATTAATGGTATGGGAGGGAATGTGGGGGAGGAAACATCATGGGGGAGGGAATGTGGGGAGAAGCTATCATGGGGAGGAATGTGGGGAGAAGCTTGTCATGTGGGGGGTGTAGAGAATGGGGAGAAGCTATCATGGGGAATGTGGGGAGGAAACATCATGGGGAGAGATGTGGGGAGAAACATCATGAGGAGGAATGTGGGGAGAAGCTATCATGGGGGAGGAATGTGGGGGAGAGCTTTATCATGGGGGAGGAATGTGGGGAAGAAACATCATGGGGGAGGAATGTGGGGAGAAACATCATGGGGGAGAGGGAGGAATGTGGGGAGGGAGAGCATATGGGGAGGGAATGTGGGGGAGGAAACATCATGGGGAGGGGAATGTGGGAGAAACATCATGGGGGAGGAATGTGGGGGAGGAAACATCATGGGGAGGGAATGTGGGAGGTACATTTTAATTGGGATGGAAACGTGATGGGTAGGTTAGGTTAGGTTAGGTTAAAATGAAGTGAGGTTAGGTTAGGTTAAAATGAAGTGAAGTTAGGTTAGGTTAAAATGAAGTGAGGTTAGGTTAGGTTAAAATGAAGTGAGGTTAGGTTAGGTTAGGTTAAAATGAAGTGAGGTTAGGTTAGGTTAAAATGAAGTGAGGTTAGGTTAGGTTAAAATGAAGTGAGGTTAGGTTAGGTTAACATGAAGTGAGGTTTGGTTAGGTTAAAATGAAGTGAAGTGAAGTTAGGTTAAAATGAAGTGAGGTTAGGTTAGGTTAAAATGAAGTGAAGTTAGGTTAAAATGAAGTGAGGTTAGGTTAGGTTAAAATGAAGTGAAGTTAGGTTAGGTTAAAATGAAGTGAAGTTAGGTTAGGTTAAAATGAAGTGAAGTTAGGTTAGGTTAAAATGAAGTGAGGTTAGGTTAGGTTAAAATGATGTGAGGTTAGGTTAGGTTAAAATGAAGTGAGGTTATATCAGGTTTACGTTATATAGTGTTAAAATGTTTGCCTGTATAAGATTTTATTACAACGAATTATATTTCCCCAGGACACAGTTGATATATTTCTTCCTCTTGTGTGAAGCTAAAAAAAATAATATATTTCTCGTGTGGGAAAAATATACAGTATATTTTTTTTCTCTCTGAAGTAAAAAATCCTCGTATATTTCTCCCATATAAAGCTATTGATTAAACAAAAATATATATTTTCCCCTTAGTATAAAACGAAATATTTTTTTATCGCTTAAATCAAAAATATATTTCTCTCCTATGTACAGTAGCTAAAACAACTATCTGTGCATGCTTTGTGGGAAACAATATGAGACCATGGGCGATAAATAATGGTATATGAGGGCTGTCACTAGTCACATGTCAAATTTCGGAGCATATCGACCCCCACCTGCACAGATAGTTGTTTTAGCTTGTGTAATAAAACTAAAATAATCCTATGTTATTTTTGTCAAGATCGTTGTGGTAAAGGTTGAGTTATCTTAAACAAAAACCACTCAGGAACTTGTTTGGTTACTTGGGTCATAAAGCAATTTGCATGTGAAGGGTGGGGGTAGGGGGGGGGCAGGGGACAGGTTACATACTTATGTTTCCTTCAAAAACCGGGACATGTGAACTACCTCACCTAACCTAACCTAACCTCATCTCATAATCTAATCAAATTTAACCTAACCAAACCAAATTTAACCTAACCTCAACTTACAAGCCTTTGTCTCGATAATATCTCCTAAAATAACAACAATTCGACTTTAGGTTAAAAGTACAAGGCAGAGCGTCTGTCTTTAAGGTTTAGGGGCGGGGTCTGTCTTAAGGTTTAGGGGCAGGGTCTGTCTTTAAGGTTTAGGGGCAGGGTCTGTCTTTAAGGTTTAGGGGGGGTCTGTCTTTAGGTTTAGGGCAGGCCTGTCTTTGGGGGGCAGGGGTCTGTCTTTAAGGTTTAGGGGCAGGGCCTGCCTTAAGGTTTAGGGGCCAGGGTCTGTCTTTAAGGTTTAGGGGCAGGGCCTGTCTTTAGGTTTAGGGGGTCTGTCTTTAGGGTCTGTCTTTAAGGTTTAGGGCAGGGCCTGTCTTTGGGTTTAA